TTACTTCAGACTAGAATAGTTCAAATCAGACTAGTAACCATTAGTCCAAGTGAAAAGGTCCTTGTGTTTGCTCCCCTAAAATAAGTCCATGTTCTTCAAGTTATGAGCTCTTATTGTTGCATAGCAATGTAGGAACGCACCAGTGTCTTCTGCACAGATTTGACAGCTAACAGAGCATCTCATTGTTAGGGCTTCTCTGGCATTGTGTCTGACTCTCCGATCTTCTTCCTTCTATGGTGTCCGTTGATTCATTAGTCTCTGGATGTATTGACAAGGCTGGTTCAGTAATCAACTTTTTAAAAATGGCTCAACAATGTCTAATTTTGTTAAACGAAACATTAATTAGAGGGAATCCAGTTGGTGAGGGCCGACGAGAGAACTGGATGGTTTTTGGTTTCAGATTGGGAAGACAATGAGTTAGGGAAAAGAGGTTGTGGCTATGGATTAGTCTTTTAAAGATGTCCAGTCAACTGCGTTGTTGGACTTAACTGGTTGAAAACCTACTTTATGGCTGATTGCAAGCTTTAATAAGGTTGATGAGTTCGATTGTAACTTATTTTAGCTGAGGGGTTTAATTGAATAAATTGGAGGGATAAAGGGGTCTGTTTGACCCTTTAACCTAAATGAAATGCATTTAGATTTTAGAGTAGCAGCGCGGTTGGGAAAAAAGTTTTCCAGCTTGTTAGTATCCAAAATATTATATTTTACACAGCTGCTTCTCTCAGTTCTCTGTATATATCTGATCTTTAGTGTGCATTGATGCAGCTTAGCCATCTTCCAAACAATCCACCCAGTGCCAGGTCAGCATCATGCCTGTTAGCTAACTACTACGTTTATAATACTAAGTGAAATCGCACTTTTTGGTCCCCCATTTAGTCCACTTTCATATAATGTTGTCCCTGTCTTCTACTTTCTCCAAATATGGTTTCTTAATAATTGTGTAAGATGTTGTATATGTAGTCCCTGCTGTAATAATTTAACTAACTCTGGTTTACAACATGTTGCACAATTGAGGGAGGACACCATTTACATAGCATTTTAACGAAGTTTGCTGCATTATTAATGACGGTCACATTACAATATATTCCACAATTGAAGGGACTGAATTTTCAAAAGTAGAACATAGAGTACATTTTGTACTGTGGAATAAATGGGGGACCAACAGTGTGACTTTCCCCATGACTAATTTTGTAGCATTGCATCTGATTAACCTACATTTAGCACCAGTATGCAGTTTGATTACTCTTCTGAGTTTGCAAGTCGAGTACCAAAAGTGTCACTGACACTATAGTTAGGGGACCAAAAGTGGCAAAAACTCTTTATATATTATAGATCCTGTCATTGGCTCGTAAGTTCATTAAAAGTATGGGTGAACTATATAATCCTTCCCCGGGATGTGGTCATTTCACGAGATGATTAGTTAGTTTTCTGAAAATTTTAAGTACAAACTTTGGCAAGTCAAATAAAACCTAAAATATTTTAATTTATAAGATGCAAAAGAGATACAAAATCAGTCCAAGACAATCAATATATTCTATCAAATTTCTGTATTAATGGTGTCATTTACATAGGGGATATTTGCAATTTCCATAAACTCCAGGAACTACTTTATAACTGGATCAAGTCATCAAACTATATAACTCCCGAATTATTCCATTCACCCCTCAGCTGAATGTGGTTAACCCTAAAACCCATGCTATAATTTTGTTCCTTCCATCTGTTGATTGAGATTTCAACCCTCTGTATATAGAGATCCTCATTATTGGTTGTGGGAGGCACATTCAGCAAGTAAACCCAGAGGTTCGAAAGTTTATTCGTTCTACTGGAATGAAATTTGAGACAGTTGATTCGGTTAGTATATTATGGACATGTTTAGTGTTTTTGCAATTTATTTGGCAATTTTTAAAATCATCATCATCTTGGGTTGCAGAGAAATGCAGCATCTACTTTCAACATTCTAAATGAAGAAGGCAGGATAGTTGCTGCTGCTCTACTCCCCTATGGAGTCCAATCTTAAGGTGCTGTTTGTATGTACTTATATATGCCTTCTGAATTCTTTTTCCTGGGCGGAGGATCTGCTTCAGTGCTGAATGATCGACTACTTTTTCCAATGACACCAAAAGAAAGAGATAGATTTTGAGCAACACGCCCTAATTCCAAGTTTCTCCGACTGCGGTTTTCTGTTTTGAAACATGATACCATACGGTTCTATGCTTGGTATATCTTAGGTAAAGGATTATCAAATCCAGTGCTGAATAAGATGATTTCTTGATCACATTTTCTATGGTTCTAGCAATTTACTTGTAGAACATTTTGTTAAAAAAATATGCCAACAGGATGACTTTTTAAGTTGTTGATTCATTATCATTATCATTACCCCAGTGCTGCAAAGGCTCCCACCTACAGTAGGGTAAGGGGGGGTCGGATGTACGCAGTCTTACCCATAGTGACCCATAGTGAAAATCACAGAGAGACTGTTTCCGGATGACCCATAGTGAAAATCGCGTCCTAAATTGCATAGACTGACTGATACTTCATAACAAAGAAGTGCAAACATTTTAGTGAGCCATTTTGCTTTATTCCATATTATTCTCAAGCAAAAAACAGTGAATCTTTGGCTCTATTGCAAATGATGGAGCAAAAAAAAGCAGGGTTACTGAACATAGTCCACTGCTGCCATTCCTTAAACAAAGTTACAAAGTCTGTTTGGAGTGTATATACCCTGCATTATGCAATGGCATTCACACACCAGATAATTGCAGTCTTTTATTGAAAGATTGTGATAACATATATAGCTGCTAGGATTGCTAGGCCATTCTCTGCATATGATTGTGAAAAGGCATGTTTTCTTGGACTTATTTTAATTTCACATCAGGCCAGTTTTGTAATACATAGGAAACTGTTTTTAAGAAACAGTTTCCTATGTAATATGTTATCACATCATGTCCATATGTTATCAAAACTGGAAAAGTAAAAAACAGTTTAAATAAAAGACTGCAATTAAAATATGTTATCACATATTACAAAACAGTTTAAACTAGGATTGCCAGTAAAAAACAGTTTAAATAAATGAAAGATAAATGTTTTGCTTTGCTTAAGATAAGTACTTTTGCTTAAATTAAGCATTTTTAAGCTAAACTAGAAGTAGGCGGATGTATGCTTTAAACTGTTTTTTACTTTTCCTATCACACAAAATTACTTTAGTTTACCAAACTCTAACTTTTACTTTTTAAAACCACTTTTATTCTCAAACAATATCAACTTTTACTATTAATCATTTTTTATTTAGTAATCACTTCACAAAAGTAGAATCAAACACAAAAACTCCTATAAAATTACAACAAAAAACTAACCAAGCTGAAAAGAGTGTTGCTTTTGGTTTAGGGATGGACCCAGGCCGGTTCCGGATCGGGTCTGGGCCTGGTCAGGCTTTTTCTCTGGGAAGGGAGAACCGGAACCAGCCCGGGTAGGCAGCGGTTCTGGGCCGGGTCGGGCCGGCTCCGGTTCAATGTTATTTTTTTTATTTTATTTTTTGCTTTTGTAATTAACCCCCGACCCCCCTTCACCCCCCCCACCCCAAATCCCCCCAAAACACCCAGCCCAATCCGGTAGAAACAAAACAAATTGAAAAACAAAAAAAAATTGGCCCGAACCGGGCCCAGATCAGCCGGGCCGGTTCCACTTTTAGGAGGCCCGAGCCCGCCCCGAGAATTGAGCGGTTCGGTAGGCCCGAACCAACCCGAAGACCGGCCAACCGGGCCAGGCCCAAACAGTGTCGGGCCAGGTCCAAACAGTATCGGGCCGGTCCGGTTCCGGGCCGGGCGCCCCGACCCGAGTCCACCCCTACTTTGGTTGTTTGTTGTTGTTATGCTTTTTGGTTTAATGATAGTTTTGAAATTTTAAGTCTTCTTGTATGGCTATTTAAGCCCCCGAATATCGAACGAGTAGGGCTGGGTCCGAAAAACCGAAAACCGAAAACCGAATCAAATCAAACCGAACCGCGACCAAATAAACCGAACCGCTAAAAAAACGAAACCGAATGTAAAAAACCGAACCGAACCGTAGTAGTTTGGTTCGGTTTTGATTTTTACTCTTCAAAACCGAACCGAACCGAACAAACTGAACTAAAATAAAATATGAAATTTTATTTGTTAAATGAAAGCATTAATCTTACTATCATCAATAATCTTTGAATTTCTTGTACTAGAGAAATAATGTTTGTGCTATGTTTATTTTAGTTTATAAATGCCCATAATAATGTACCTATATTGATCTATTATGTCTTCTATGTATGTATGTTGCAACTTATTGCATGGTTATATGTTTTTACTAGTTATTAGTAGTAACTAACTTTTATTTTTATGTAACTTAAATTTTTATGTTGATAAAACAAATAAATATTCATTTCAGCTATATCACATAGGACGTATGTATTCATAAACTTTTTCAAACTAGTCACAAATAATCTAAATTAAGAATATATATACACTTTTATCTCTCCCGCATATATACTCATATAATTCAAGACATATTTGTTATTACTCCGTATTATTTTCTTTATTTGTTCAAGTATGCTTGCATTTAATGTGATATGTTTGATCTCTCCAACTTTTATATCAATTTTAAATCAAATGACAATTTTTTTGTAAAAAACCGAAAAAACCGAAACCGAACCGAAACAAACCGAACCGATCAAACCGTGGTTCCAAGTTTTGGAGTGTAAAACCGAACCGAAACCGAACCGAACTTTTACTTTGGTTCCGTATTTGGTTTTAGGTCAAAACCGAACCGAAAGAACCGAACCCACCCCTACGAACGAGTAAATTTGACTGTTCGACCTTATTTTGGAATTCATTTTGATGGGCCCCTTTTATTTTTGCATCGTGTTAACGTGTACCACAACCTACTCATAACTTATTAAGCATCATCTCCAATCACATTCCCACAATCCCACCCCTTTCTTGCCTATTCCCTGACTTTTTCATGAGGTTGCCAGTACAATGATACATTGATACATAGTGATATACTCGTATAAAAAAAGGATCGAGATTATTTTGGGAAATAACAAAAATCAGTAAAAAGACTGAAAGGAGCCAAAGTGTAATTTTGTTCATTATTACAATATATGAGGAAGCTGTAAATATGTAATGTTGCATGTTGATCAAGATTGGCTAGCTGCACTGTACATGAAGTCAAATCCCATTGTATGGCGATACTCGCCGGTGCCAAGGCAGCGAGAGCAGTGGCTCAGTCCACTTCCACTACAGTATCTACACCTGCGAAAAACAGCGCAATCTAGGAGTGATTCACACTAAACATCTACCAACCATTTGGTGGAAGACCGTTTACTCTGAATGGTTACTCACCACTCTGGCCACTTTCCTTGTGGAAGCACCTCTAGCTCCACATGATTTGTCCTTCCTACATGTATTCACAAGCTGGTTTAGGATTTGTTCACTTATTCAAGTCTAGTCTCTAGAGCGAATTATACCCGTCAGCAAGTATTTAAAATATATTGTATTAGTAAAGTTGAATAAAATATATGAAAAATAGCTAAAATGGTGTTCTATAGCAATTTCAGCCAATTCAGTCGGAAAAGTAATTCTAACTAGTAACCTTCCTTATATTGATTAAATAACTCTAACCTAGTAGCCTTCCTTATTTTGATTATTACTTAATTCACTGCGCAAAGTCAAACAATACGTGTTTACTGTTTAGTGAAAAATTTGATTGATAAAATTCATAGGATTAAGTATTGTCATACTCTGGTCATATTGACATCTTCTTAATGTCAGTATAATAATTTGAGAAATGTGGTATTTTTCTTGTATTTAAGAAAAATATAGCAATCCTATTTTGGAAAACTATTTTATTTCACTCATATTTTGAGAAATTTCTCTAAAATTAACAGATTAGATTAAAGAGAGCATATCACAGTATGACTAGAGTGAAAATTTGTGGAAAAGCAATCAGTACTTATCTTCATACTCGAAAGTGGCATTTATTTGCACAAAGAATAGTCTTTTAACCTTATAACTTGTTATCAATCATTTTCTGCTTCTACTTTTTTATCCCTATCCTTATCCTTGTATTTTTTTAAAACACTCGTGGCAATCTCAAACAATCTAGGATGAAGAAAGAGGTTGCAGTAGAAGAAAACTTGTAATACTCACACGGGAAATGTCTGGGGGCACAAAAAAGGTATGAAAAGGTAAAAGAGAGATACCTCTTCCATTACAGCGGGAGCAGTCGACTCTGCCACTCCCTCCACAAACCACACAAGGAGGGTCTGCCTTCTTTCTCCCTTCCATCCCCACCTTACACTACAATTAACCATAACCAACACAAATAATACACCATAAATATCAGTCAACAAAATCAAAATCGCGACGCCGCTTTTTACTCCCCCAATTTGTGATGTAGTTATGCTATAGAAAATTGTTGTACTCAAAAATGGTTCAGCAGTTCTGCTTTTTAGTCTATCGAAACAAACGCTAATGGCTGAAACAAATAAGTACAATAAACCTTCCAGAAAGGAAAAGTGATTTCGGAGGTTAGGGTCACCTTTGTTCTTATGATCCACGGAGGTTTGGAATCTGGAAGACGTAGAGTTCGGATCTGTGCTTTCTGAGCATCGGGAGAAAGTGCGCCATTGCTTGAGCTGCTGCCGAAGTCTGGTCGCCCGCCGGTGAGAGAAAAGCTTGTCGCAGCCTTTATCGCTCCCATATTTGCCTCTAAACCCCACAGCCCCGTGAGTGGATTTCATTTCACATCTTGTCCTTCGCACATTTTCATAATACTGTTAGTTGTTCACAATTTAGTAGGCTCTATAGTATTTTCCCGCGATTTCACATAATTGAACGTACCAATCGAACCTATGTATGTATTTCACTTTGAATTTGATTGTATTTCAGAACTGTATTAACAAAATTGAACAAGAACCGAACCGGCCTATAAATTCAAAAAAAAAAAAATATAACTCAAAATAGTACATTTAGAAATAATAATTCATCCGATCCTAATCAAAACGAAACATAGTATGCAGTATGATTTTTATTGAGAAAATAATTTAGATACCCCGAACTTTTGAGGGATGTGAGATCAGTGTCGATCCTACCTAAACTTGGGCCTGAGTCAAGTATGAGAAATGGGCCCTATACATAGTATTCTTTAGTGGAAATATCCCGTTTAGGACACTTTTGACTAACGCATTTCATTTATGTCACCGCTCAATTTTTTTTTTCAATTTTGAACTTCCACGTTTTCACTTTTATTTTTTTTATTTCAAAAATGTCCTTTTAATACAATACTTCGTAGCCTTTTAACAAGCTTTCAGGAATCTCAACGAAGGAAAAGAGGGAGTGGATCTCAATTCACATTGCGTATGTCGGAATCCAACTATCCAAGTCTGAAATTCTGCAACTCCTTTGAGAGCTGTACTGGCACGAGCATGGCCTAAAGGTGTATCTCGATTCCCGTAGGTCGGTCGGTGTCCAATTCAGAATCTCCCGTGCGGAACATTACTTTCTCAAGCATGGCCTCAAGGTAAACCTAATCCGTTGAGATGTTTATGTAATATTATTTCAATTTTTTCCAGATCTTTTGATTTTGTTTGAGAATCGAGCAGACAGATAGAAATTAGAGATAATGGAGCAATCAAATTGCTTGCTTAATTGACTGGCATAACATTACCTTTCATTTTTGTTTAAACTCTATGCATGTTTTTTTTGTTTGTGTTTTTTTAAGGCATAGGCAAGTGCTAATGTAAACTTCCCTGATTGCTGACAAAACTTTATGCACATTGCTACTTTTGTAGGAAACACAAGAATTATCATTTGCTTGATAAGAAAAATCAATCCAGGGGTCTTTTAAGAATATGAGAGCAATCCAAGACTCTAGGGATATGTTCTAGGGAGTAATTGATGGTGCATAGTTATTTTCTTGTGTTGGAGTATTTGGCAGGAACGGTGTTCACGGGTGGGGAACGAGGCTCATGAGGAGAATGTTAATGTGGCAGCAATTTACCATCAAAGTCTTTTGCTTATTTCCTAGAAGCTTAAAAGGCAGCTCAACTACATGAGGCGAGACTCCAAGGTGCAACAAGGACGCAGGGAAGAAGATGGCAGCAGGTTGGGGATCTGATTGGTCAATCTTGCCGGAGAGGGTGAAGGTGGAGTCGTCCAGTTGGTGGTTTCTTAAAGCTGAATGTTGATGCTGCACTTGGGAGGGATAGGTGCGGACTTGGTAGGGTTATTCGTGACTCAGCTGGTGAATTTGTGGCAACAGGGGCAAATCCCTGGAATAGCAAGCTGGCAGCGAAGGAAGTGGAGATGTTGGGGGTTCGTGAAGCATTGGCATTGTCGCTGTCCTTTGGCTGGAGTAAAATATGAGCCTCGTTTCTTTTGTTTTGTCTTTTATTTCCCTTTTATTCTCTGTAATTTCTTTTTCTCTTTCATGAATAAAATTTTAATTTTGCAAAAAAAAAAATTGTTAAAAAAAACGAAGTATATTAACTCCATATACTCTATTAATTTCATTTAAACTATCATTTATCTAAGCTACATTGAATTCGGTTATTGTCTAAAAATAATCTACCGTTTTGATTCTATGTAAAATTGATTTCGACCCCGCTGAGTCATTTTTCTGGCTCCGCCCCTGCGGGTAGGCCCGACCCGGTGGTTTTACGGTACGGGCTCGGGTCACCCAATAGACGAACCGGCCCGGCCCGGCCGGGCCCCGTTCTGGGCCTTTTTTTTCAATTTTTTTATTTTTCTGAGTTGGGCTGGGGTTTTTGGGCCATTTGGGGTGGTTTGGGGGGGTGGTGGGTGGGGGTGAGGGGGGGTCGGGGATTAATTAGAAAAGTTATAAAATAAAATAAAAATAGGAAGTGGCCTGAGGCCCGGCCCGACCCGGACCCGCCGGCCACCCGGGCCGGTTCCGGTTCACCTATTCTCAAATAAATGCCCGGCCGGGCCCAGACCCGAACCGGAACCTATTCTCAGCTCGCATAGTGAACACTCCCTCTGTCCTGCAATAAACTTCACACTTTCCTTTTTGGGCAGTCCCGAAATTAACTTCACACTTCAAAACTTTCCTTATTTGGCAAATTATCTACATCAAAACAATGTCAAACAATGCCAAACAGTGTCAAACAGTTTTAAGTAAATGATTTAAATATTCTAAACTTCAAAGAAAAATATTTTTTAACATCATGATCACATGTTTTTCTTTCACAAATGCAAATTTACAGTGTTAAGTAAATGATTTAAATATTCTAAGCATTTTTTAATGTGCAATTAATATTATAAACTTAAATGTTAATGTGATTTATTAATTGTTAATATTATTTGTCTAAAATATTGAAGCTTAAATAATAATTTCATCTTTATAAATTCCCAAAGTATTTTAAATTTTATGTATCGACAATATAAATTTACATTTGTGAAAGAAAAACATATTTTGATTGTGTTAAGATATATTTTATACAAACTTCACGATATTTTCATTACATGTGTAAATTAGGGTGTTACCTCACACCCAATGTTCTAAAAATCGGCCTAGTCGGACCGATTAATCAGCCTAGTCGGACCGATTAATCGGCCTAGTCGGTTCTCACTATAGAGGCCCAGTCGGCCTAGTCGGCCAAAAAATCAGTCTAGTTGGCCAAAAAATCTATCTAGTCGGCCGACTAGGTGCCCCTCAACCGCCCGACTAGGCGCCCCTCAACCGCCCGATTAGCGCCTAACGAGTTTTAGAACAATGCTCACACGCATTACAAATATGGGACAACGTGTGCACAATTAACGAATCATCACTGCATTGTTGCACAATTACCACTACCATTAATATAAGAATGCGAAAAATGATTTTTTTTTTATCCAAAAATCAATTAAGTTGATATAAATATATTAATCGTATAAGTGAAAAAATTAAAGAAAATGACAAAAAATTACTTCTACACCTTTATTGTATATTTTGTATTTTGTATTACCTCTACATTTATAGAAGACGAAAATACGACTAGGTCTTATTATTTCGAAAATGTGACTAACATATACGACAATACTTAATTAATACTCGGTATATTTTCTTTTAATTCTAATTCTGACCTAACAACTCACCCGTTCCCCTTTACCCCCACGGCCCCACATGTCCCATAGCCACCTGCAGCCGCACCTGCTGACGGTTTGTGGATAACTAGATTCTCACCCGCGCGATGCGCGGGATATTAAAAGTAATAGTGATACTGCAATTTTTTTAAATGTTATTTGGTTGTGTGAAATGAAAGTAAAGTATCATATGCGTAACATGCATAATAATTTATAAATAAAGTCCTGATAGTGAAAACTCAAAGATAGGTAATAAGTATATTTTGGAATAAGTGGAAAAAAGCAAACGTTAAATAGGGTTTCACAATCTACACATTGCGGAAAACTTCCTTATAAACTACATGTTGGTATGGTCAGTTGGCTGGCCATATTCACCGCAGATCAATATCTTCAAACCCTTAGGATTTCTTACCCTTGACACTGCAACATACAGTTGATCATGTGTGAAGACCAACTTTTTCAATAAAAGCCCAACATGAGAAAAAGATTGTCCGTGACTCTTATTTATAGTCATTGCATAAGAGGACATTCCTGAAAATTGTCTTCTTTGAAACTTGAACGAGATTCTTGAATCCGAAGAAGTTAAGCTTAACCTCGGAATGACAATTTTTCCGCCCATAAAGCTTTTCTTTTTTATCTAACCCAATTTGTAGAAATCTTTGCAACATTTGTTTATTTCTGCTTATTCCAAAACATACTCACTACCAATGCAAGAGTCCTAACTATCGTTATGATATTACAACTTATTATGTATATTACATCTTGACTTTTCCATTCTTTTATACGTGAATTAATAATTTAAGCCTTATTAACAAATAAGGACATACATCTATTACTTTTAAATATATTAATCGTATAAGTGAAAAAATTAAAGAAAATGACAAAAAATTACTTCTACACCTTTATTGTATATTTTGTATTTTGTATTACCTCTACATTTATAGAAGACGAAAATATGACTAGGTCTTATTATTTCGAAAATGTGACTAACATATACGACAATACTTAATTAATACTCCGTATATTTTCTTTTAATTCTAATTCTGACCTAACTACTCACCCGTTCCCCTTTACCCCCACGGCCCCACATGTCCCATAGCCACCTGCAGCAGCACCTGATGACGGTTTGTGGATAATTTCGCAATATTTTTTCACTTTTTTATTTTCATCGGAAAAAAATCTAAGATCACAATAATGACATGGATTTAACGACGGCATTGACATTTGTGGAGTGGATAGTGATATTGAGTTATTGACTAATAGCCCAAAAATCTAACAGTGATGTCATATTTTTCTAAATTTATTACCTTATTAGTTACTTTTTTGTCTAAATCTAAAAGTAATCAATTTTTGGGAAATAAATCGTAAGAAATGACAAATTAAAGGAAAATTATTTGAAAATAAAAAAGGATATACTCCGTATAACATTTTATAAAATTATTTGAAAATAAATTGCTTAAGAGGTATACTTTCATCAATACTTTTTAAATAACTTCTGTCTTGTTTAACCACATGAATCTAATCACAATAAAGAATTGGGTTTTTAAT